TATAGAGCACACAAAAAATTGAATTTTGGTGTCATTGATATAAGAATCTTCTCAAAAATGGTGACATCCTCCATTTTCTCTCCATGGATCCTCATCTTATTTGCAATTGCCATAGTTCTTGAAAAGAAATTTGCTGTTGACTCACTTGACTTCATATGCAAAGTCTCAAATTCAATTCGCAAACCTTGAAGTTGTGCTCTTTTTGCCTTCACATTCCCTTGATACTTCTTCTTCATGGAGTCCCAAATTTGCTTGGAGGTTTCTTTGCAAAGAATAGTCTCCAAAATCGAACGATCAAATGCTTGAGAAAGGTAATTCTTAGCCTTAAGATCTTTCAACTTCAAGGCTTCAAAATCTGTATTCTGTGTTTCTGTAGTTCTTGTTGCTGGTTTTGCTACTCCAGATTCAACAACATTCCAATACTCCTTGGACCTGAAGAAGTTCTCCATGAGCATGCTCCAACGATCGTAGTGACCATCAAAGCACGAAATTGCTGGCTATACATAGTTGTTTGAGGAAGCCATTGTTCGTTAGCTGCTGCTTTTATGTGTAACCAGGCTCTGATACCACCGTTAATAAGAAAATATAACAGTAGAAAGTGAAGGCAAGAAAGAGAATTATATTGCATGTGATGCATATTCAACAAAGCATAAAAAGCTCTTTTATAGAGCTGTACATCAACTAAATTAGCTAAAAATAGGCTAACAAAATGCCATGTTAATAGAACCACCAAAAATCTGCAAATTATCCTAAAGACTAGGAAACAAATTGACTCCACTAAACCACTATTATTGTCGACTCGATCAAACATAACTTGTCAAAATAAGCATCTAACAGTGATTCTCTTCTTTTTTCAATTTTTGTGTATGATAAGTAGAGAATTATAGCTCAATTAACTAGAAAAAGAATTTCTCAAAATCTATTATTCAATGGAGCATGAAACATAGGATCCATTATCAATTGTATAAGAGATTAGAATGTGATGCTTAAGCTGATTAATGTAAGATTCAAAGTTAGGTTTAATAGTCATACTTTTCTGGGTAATCGCTGTCTTGATCTTTACAGTCAATGGTTTGGCTCTGTTGATGATATTTTGACAGTATTTAGTGATATAACTATTAAAAATAATACATCTTGGAACATTTGCTTGAAAGCTATCTTAAATTTGGGCATTTTGAGATTTTCCCTGTTTGATGAAATGCCTAAAAGGGATGTTGTTAGTTGGAATTCTATGATTTCGGGATTTCATTCATATGGGTATTTTGATTCTGCAGTAGGACTCTTTCAAAAAATGCAAAATGTGGGTGTGAGACCAAGTGGGTTCAGTACTCGATTATGATGTCCTTAGTTTCTGTTGCACATCATGGGAATTCCTTAGTTGACATGCATGGGAAGTTTGGCCATGTTGATTATGCTTTTGTTATGTTTTTGACAATGGAAAAGTTAGATGTTATCACTTGGAATTCATTGATTTCAGGATGATCAAGATATGGAGAATTGCATTAAAGCAGTTTTGTTTAATGAGATACTTAGGTTATTCATTTGATTAATTTACAAGTTCCGCTTGATCATTTCTTACTCTACTTTGTGAAATTTGGACCAGGGTAAGCAAATTTTTGCTTTTTGTCTCAAGTTGGGATTCCTTTCTAACACCATTGTTTCAAAAGAGGGAAGAGATGGTTTAAGGAATGAACAAAAAGGTGTAAGTTTAGATGATTATGCTTTTGTGTTCTATATATATATATATATATATATATAGAACATGCTTTGGTGTTCTATATATATATATTATATATATATATAGAACACAAAAGCTATAATCATCTAAACTTACACCCTTTTTGTTATCTATATATATATATATATATAATTATATATATATAATATATATTATCTTATAATAGAAGAAGTAACAATCATCTCCAACATATTTTTTTTATTAATTCCGTTGTTTATTGATTTTATTTTATTAAATATTAATCTTATAATAGAAGAAGTACAATCATCTCCAACATATTTTTTTATTATTCGTTTGTTTATTGATTTATTTTATTAAATTTCTTTGACTATTTAATTTGTTTTAATTGTAATATTAATTTATTTTCAACAAAATGAAACAACAAAGCTAAGAAATCAAAGTTCTTATTTTTTTAATTGTACTCGGAATTTTTAAAACCGGATTGGACCGGACCAACCCGGATAATTTCAAAACCCAGTGACCGGTATGATCCGGGTTTTTTTTCTAATACCATCATCCCTCTCCACTGCTTTACTCTATTCTCTATGCTATTTATTACATTGGGCTAACTTTCTATAATATTTGCGTTGGAAGATGAAAACAATTGAAACTTTATGTGCTTTTGCTCCTAAGTGATACTTATATTACTATTTCACTTTTCGTTTAATTTTTTATTATTTAGGCAATAAAAATAATAATATTTATTGAAAAAAAAGATTAAACTATTAATAATACTCCTTTCGATTTATTTATTTTATTTTCGGCATTCCATTTATAAACAAAGTTATTTAATTTGGACTATGGCCAAAGTGCAAAGTCTAAAGTACCATTGATTTGCTTTGTTTAGATTAACAACTTTTTAGAAAAACAAGAAAGCGGCAGAGAAAGTTCAAATATTTTATTAAATATAATTGAGTTACCAATGTATAGTTGTATTTTCTTTCTCTTTCCATTTTAAATCAAATTGCACGCAGTTTTGATATTTGGTGAGCATATTTGTGAAAAATCAATCGTGTAAAAAAATTATGAAAAAATGAACACAAGTTATATAAGTGGGGCATAATGTGTGCGCAACTTTCTATAAACTAACATTTTTCAAATAGATAATATGTGCACAACTTTCTCAATAGAACGCGAATTTAACGATTCTTGAATTTTAGAAATAAGCATATTTTTCATTAAATTTTTTGTTTCTTCTGTCATATTTTTTTTTTTTCTCCTTTCTTCGTACTAGCAATCATGCTAGAAGGGCACCGTGTAAATTCAAATTTTTCGTCATGATTCGGTGATTATCTGTTTTCTTTGAATTTAAAAGCTTGCATTAACTAAGCAAAATGAGCGAATTTTGCTGTAAATCATCCTTTAATTATGGTTTAGGTCATTAATTGTGTTTGGATTGGCCTGAAATATTTGACTTTCAAAATAAACATTCAATTAATGCAATATTAGGGGTAAAATAGAAAAGATTTGGTAAAAAATTATAGTTTAATTAATTCCTTAATCCATGTGCAAAGTCAGTTGTGTCTATATAAATGAATAAGAGGGAGTATTATTTTTATTTACTAATTTAAAATAATACTATTAATTTAATTAAATATTACAAAAAAAACTTAAACATATTGTTACTTCAAAAAATATTAATGATAAAATTAATTTTATTAATTATTGAAAACTAAAAATTCATTAATATCTAAATTAAATTAAAATTAAATTAAAGTATATAATAATAAAAAAAATAAAAATGCAAAATAGATCTAGATAAAAAAAGTAATTGCTTTTAATTATTACTTCGAAATGATTTTAAGGATATTATTGATTTAATTAATTATTAAAAAAGCTGAATCATTTTATTATTTATTAAAAAAGAAGTTGAAATATTTTTAAAATATTAATGACATTATTATTTTTATTCATTATTAAAAAGCTATGAAATATTATTAATGATATTAATTTCTCTTCATTTATATTGAAAATAATATAAAAAATAATTTCCTTTAAATGAAAAAAAAAATTCTAACTAAAAACTAATGTTTTAGAATTGTAAAATATAATTATAATTGTAAAAATACAATTTCAACTGATATTATTATATAGATGGTTTGAAATGTATTTCCACATTTTTTATAAAAATTTTATGATTTCGTTTAATTATAAATTATATTAAGCATATAATCCGGTTGAACCAAGTTGATTTGGTTCAACTGCGATCTAGTCACGACGTAGGTTCAATATCCGGTCGATTTTAAAAACATTGATTGTACTTTCTGATTTTTAAAAGTCAAAATATTCCATATAGGACAAAAGATAACTATAGCATGTTCCATATTTGTTTTTTCATTTTTTTTTCTTGAGGCATTTGCGAGGTCTTCATATAATAGTATTGATCCATCTCTATTTTTCAGCCTTTTTCCTTTGAGGTTCTTGACAGATGATGAAGCATATTTAGTGGAGGAAGTGTTGGTTAAAACAGATTTCTCTGTCAAGATTTTGGTTTTTCAATTTATTTATTTATTTTTTTTTGTGAAATGAAATGTAAAAGAAAATACGTAGAATGAATGTATTCATTTTTTTTTTTTTCCAAAAACATTCATATTCATTTCATTTAAAAGAGTAATTATACTTGCAGTTTAACATATTTAATATAGGATGGAGATTTGAACAAAAACAAATTAGAAAAATTAGAATATTTTAACAAAAGTTATACTTAAAAATTCAACTGATGTCTTCACAATTTATGCAAGAAGCCTTGTCACTACTGGGTAGAGAAGCCGTATCATTTTCCAAGGGATTGTAAGATTCTTGGGTTTCTCCTGTTTTTTGGATAAGATAATTTATTCACCCTACAACGTAACATATATCTTCTTGGAAGTTAAGGTTATTTGAGAACTCATTCGCAAAACTGCCCTTCATATGGTACAACTTGGAAACTGAGCTAGACATGGATGAAAATTGTTTATCGGCTACCCAGTCTTGTTGGTCGATTTAACAAGAGTTTGGGACTGTAGCGGTTTAAATTAAAAAATTCTGTATAAACAGTTGTTTAACTAAAAATGAAAAAATATATATTAACTAAATTTGGGAAAAAAAAAAAATTAGCTGAATTCGAAAAAGAAAACATTAGGTATGATTGTTAAATATATTTAATTAATTTATGTAAAAGGCTAAACATTAATGTTAATGTTTATGTTACCGAACGGTACAATTAGTAGAGATAGAGTTCTAAACTTAATTAAAATGCTAAAAGCTAACTAAAAAATTGCAGTGGAACAAAAACTTACTCATATGCTAGAAAAACCGATGAACAGAGTATTTACCCAATTCTGAAAACATATACATACTAAGATATCGGAGGCCTAAATATTACAATTGAGCAACTTGAAGGACGCAAGTTGAAGGACTTGCTCAAAAGTCTGTCTAGTTACAAAATAGACCCTTGGAAAATTTCAGCCATTCAGACGCTAATGATTAAGAATCTGACTATGAAGTTAACCTGGTCGAAATAGTTGTAGCAACAAGTATAAATGCCCTGGCTCTGGCTAACCACATAACAAATAGCCATGGATTGGAATACTCTTTTGATTGCTTACTCAAAGATGGACAAACCAATTTCACCTCCTGAGGAAAGAGTAGGGAAAGACTATTGCAAGTTGCACAACTCTTGGGAGCACTCATCCAACAGCTATGTCTATTTTAGAGACATTATCTAGAAATCATCCAGGGAAGGACAAATTACTTTTCCCAGACAAACCCATCTTCAGGTGGTGGGAACCAATCATTTGAGGCTGAAAGCTTGGTCTAGTGCCAATACAAACCCACATTTATACTTCAATTTTTCCACCAAACATGTAAAAATGTTCATTTATAAATGAATTCAATAAATATATATGAAATTGATTTTTACCACAAACTTTTAGTTCATTGCGTACTCCACAATTACGATGTCACAAGAAAGCTCCTACAAAATAGAATAAAAATGACTAGTATCACACTAAAATCACTTGTAAAGCCTTCCATTGATGAAACCCCAAAATTTTCCGCTGCCAAAAGAATATTCCTCTAGTTTGAAATCAAGAATTTACATACAACAATATAAAACATCCCCAGCATATGAGGGGATTGCTGCACAACCTGCCATGAAACAAGGGTAGAATAATTGACATGAATACATCATTAACATTTTCATTCATGGAAATAAAGAAAATTCAACATCACACCATGCCATAATCTAAGATTTACTTTTCGGACAGCCAAAAAAGAAGGGAGGGTACCCATAAACATATTGCCAAAACAACAACATGATTTTCTTTTCCTACAAGTGCATTCTATTGTCTGTGACTACATGCATGATGCACCTACAGCCAGGGAGAAGTTAAAATGGGACCTCTAGTTGTATCAATTCACTGGACAGATGTTAAAATGGGACCTCTAGTTGTATCAATTCACTGGACAGATGTACCTCACCTGTCAAACTGGACTAAATTTTAAAGGGCTGATAAAAGAAAAAAAAAAAAAAAAAAAAAAACTAAAAAAAAAAAGAAAAAACTGGAAGGGACTGATTTGAGGCACCATAAAACATTGGAACTGGACAAATGAGTTTAGAATATATAATGTTATATAAGAAAACAAGTAAACATTTTTTTTTTCCCAAAGTTAGTGCTTACTGTGAACAAAATGAAAAATAACAAAGCTGGATGATGCTTGCTATAGGCATTTTTTTTTTTTTTTTTTTATCCAATTTTAGTAATATTTGCCCACAGTGATACAACCAACCTCCACCTAGGCTTATTGACATTCAATTTGGTCAAGTTTGGAATCAAAATGAAAAGGGAAAAACATAAAAATTAAGTTCTACCTGTTGTCTTGCGTCCAACCAAAAATCAGGCACCTAGGAACCCCAATATTGGCATTTTTTTTTTTTTTTTCAATTTAGTAATATTGCCACAGTGATACAACCAACTCCACTAGCTTATGACATTCAATTTGGTTCAAGTTTTGGAATCAAATGAAAAGGGAAACATAATAAATTTAATTTCTCCTGTGTTTGGTCTTGGTCCAACCAAATCAGGACCTAGAACCCCCATATGATATTTTGCTGATAACTTGATAATGACCGATACAAATACAGACGCTCAAAGTCCTGCTGTCTAATTTTCTATATATTTTTCTGTAACATTTATCTATTTTTTGAAATTGACTTAAATTAGGTAACACTTGGTAGTATGTCATTTATTGAAAGAACTACTGATTATTTATTCTGAACAAAATAATTTTTACTATTCTTCATAAGTTGCTGAATTTGTATTACTATTATTTTTTAAAATTTTGATTAAAACATGCTAGCTGCCATTAGTAAAAATTATTTTTAATTATTGTGGAAATTTCCTGCTATTTCATTTCAGTGGATACTGGCCAAGAATCTACAGGTAAAATTTATAGCCTGCATAAAGAGAAAGTGATGGACCTGGGAGTCTAAGTAGATGATTACCTCACATAAGGGATCCGCATCCAACTCTATATTACCAAACACCAAGCATTGGAATATGACATTCTCATTTAGATCGTTGTCTCCTTGTAACTGAGCAAAATGGGTCCATAATTGCAGAAGTCATCGGTATTTCCTCTGCTGGCAACAAAGTCTAAATAAATAACAACTCAAAAGCCAAATTTGCAAATTAAAGGAAAATTTTGCTAGGGTGGTGGGGAAAAGAGAAACTTAATGCAAGCAACTATAATTATATTGTAGATCAAGCAGAAAGAAGATTTAGGAATTACTGATATAGACCGAATTATTAAACCAACTCTTTGCAAGTTTTTTCCAAGTCCTATCAAGGATTGAAGAAATTTGAGCCACTCATATTGACAGCTATTAGCAATAATATGCTTGTAAAAACAGCTAGCCAAATTATGACTGATCCTGCAATAGACAAGTAGAAATTTGCATAAGCTATAGGATTATTGAACCAACCATATATGTATATATAACTAATACCTACCTCCAGAATCTTCAGAACTGTTGTTCGGATCTGAAACTGCTGTTTCAGGATTAAGATTGCCTGACTCTGCAGCTGGGGCATCATTCAGAAGTTTGTTACTTCCTGTCTCAGATGCCACAATCCCTTGAAATTCCTCGCTAACAATTAAAGCTGCTAGAACATCCATAAATGACTCTTTATCTGATTCATCTGAAGAATCCTTTCCACGTGAATCCAAAGTAGCATTTGATTCATCTGAATCAGACAACTCATCATCCGAAGCATCGGCATCAATGGACTCCACCACAGTCTTGTCATCATCTTCATCCTCCACATATGCTTTATATGTTAGTCGAAGTAATATTTCACCAGAAGACCTCTTTCTGAACAGTCCCCATCCTCCTTGTAGGACCACAATCCTGTCTGTTGGTACAGTATCTCGCAGAGATCCTAGATCAACCTAGAGATAACATTGAATATGCGAATAATGCATAAGAAAAATGAAAGATATTACCTGCAGAAAACTTCTCAAAAAGAACTTCCATTTGCACATGAAGTAGCAAATCAATGCAGCCAAATTTCAACAACAATACCAATTTAACTGAAATGACCACCGAGGACAGGGAAACTCCCAGCAACCAGCAAATAACAAATAAGATAACCAACATCCAATTTATATCTCCAAGCTACAAACAAGATTTTTCCACTCTAATGAAAAGTTGAGCAGATTTACTTGGACTTTAAACTTGAACTGGATTCAGAAGTGAATCACAACCCCGCATTTATTTTCCAATGGAACTAAAACTAGGTTGCAAATCTTGCGGGACGGTAACAAGTTCCAAGAGAAATCAACACCACATAAGCCTTTTACAAACTAGTGATATTCAAGGATTATCACTTGATTATTGTTTTACAATTAACCCCTACATCTTTATATATATATATATATATAATTTTTACTAATCAAATTCTAGAAACTTCTAAAATTTCTTGACAAAAGAATGGTTGGCTAAACTTATAATTTTATTTTGTAATTTGAATAATAGGATTTTTTTTTTTTTTTTAATATCATTCATTCCTTAGTCTGTTTTTATTTTGTATATTGAACAATAGGATTATATATATGTATAATTCCTTACTCTATTTTTATCTTTAGTCCTTTTTAGCCTCAAAAACCATTAATCCTTAGTTTTATACTACAATTCCTTACTTGATTAATTGCAGTTTTTGCAGTGTAAACTGAGGTGGTATTTGGTAAAACTGAAAACTAAGTGCTGAAAATTTAAAAGCTGAATTTTAAATGTTGAATAATATAGTCTTAAAAGATACATTGTAATGTAGCCATTATATTTCCATTAAATGTCCCAAAAGATATTGTCCCAATATAGATGGTCGTTTTAAAGTTGCTAATGAATTTACAGCATTCTCACTAAGGAAAGGAACTTTAATGATAGTAAACTATTATAGATAGACACACTATAGATACCATTTCTTGGTGGAGTCTTAATGGTTGTTTTGCGTTTTGTTGCAAGGGTAGTTTTTAAATTATTTATGCAGTCATCATCTTATTCTGAAGAAATTGGAGAATTCATTCTTTTGTGCATTCCAGACAAAGGAACCAGGTGACACCCAAGTGAAAATTTTGGTTTTATTCATTGTGGCCTTTGTCTTTTATCAAGAAAATCTCAACATTATATGCAAGCAGACAACAAAATGTGGGACATATCTGGAGATTCATTCGATTCAATTTAATGATGGGATGCTTGAAATAGCTAATCTCTCCGTTTCTGAGCCAAACCTTGGAAGGTGTGATATGGGAAAATTACTATTAAGTCCTTGAGATTTAACCAAAATTACCATTTCATCCCTACCGTTTGGAGAAATTACTGCTTAGTCCCTGAGGTTTAGTCTCATTAAACTTAGTCCTCATGTAATACTTTAACTATTTGATTATTCACATTTAATATATTATTACTATTTAGTCACTCACATTTATTTCTAGACTACTATTTAGTCTGTCAATAGCAAAAATGAGATTTTTCGGATGAAAAGACTAAGTAGCCTAATGGGACTAAACTTTAACGACTTACACAGTAATTTCTCCAAACAATAAGGATGGCATACCTCAAGGACTGCGTAGAAATTTGCCCAGTGTGATATTTGCAGATGACTTGGAAGATGTTAATGAGATAGAAGATGGAGGAATGCAAGATTGACTATTTATATATTATTTTTATATATATCTTTATATATATATGCATTAGCTTTAGGCATTAAACACACATGTCTAATATATATATATATATATATAAATGCAAGATTGACTATTTATATCCATTATTTTATATATATCTTTATATATATATGCATTAGCTTTAGCATTAAACACCACATGTCTAATTATATATAATATATATATATATATATATAGAAATTTTATATTTTGACTCTTTCTTAGTTGAGTTTATCTTTACAGTATGAACTCTAAATGAATTTTATGAGTTGGATACTTCTTATAAGCTTTATTAAGAAACTAGAAATTTAATAATTTATGTTTTTTTATTATATGTATCCTCCCTGTGTCGCATCCTATATTTTTTGAAAATGCTATGCCTGCGTGTCGCCATGTCCATGTTTGTGCTTCCTAGGGTGCCAACCCCCAGCACCCACCCCCCTTCTTTTTTCTCTAGAAAGAGAGAGAGAGAGAGAGAGAGAGGGGGGGGGGGGAGAGAGAGGGGGGGGGTGAAGATATCTAAATGTGGTGATTAGAGCCTGGGGGGGGGGGGTGAAGATATCTAATGTGGTATTAGAGCCTAGGGGTGTGCAAAACATCTGACCAAACCGACCGAAAAAGGGGATTCGGTTTTGTTGGGTTGAATCGAAGTTATTGGCGATTCGGCTCGATTTTTGTAGAAACTAATCGGTTAGGCTTAAAACTGACTCGATATGGTAAAAACCGATCAAAACCAGTTGAACCAACTGGTTCAGTTCAAGTCAGTTCGGATGCCAACTTCGGTTCAGTTCGGTTCGGTTCGGTTCTAGTCAGCAAAGTTTGATTTTACATTTTGTAGCCTCTATTCGGTTCACACCAGACCGACCGTTTTGCTCGCCCCTATTAGATAGAGCCCACAAATCTATATTTTATGCAACTTCTAAGTAATACAAGCTATTCATGAAAAGAGGACAAGCCAACTAACATCCAGTGCAGAAAAACCTTTATCTAAGTATGTCAGCCATTCATGTATGACAGGATTGCTAAAATTAAAACCCTACTCATGCAAAGGACAATCCCTGTAATTTCAAGAAAAATCTGCTTTAGGAATAAGATTTATACCTCTCCAGTACCAATAGTCAAATCTGTAAATCCAAGGGAGTCCTTCACTTGGATGTGCAACTTTTGCTTCCTTGGATTTGCAACAAGCATATGAAAATCCTGCACAGATAATAAAAAATCAATCATGGAAACCTTATAGCTTTAGGTTATGCATCCCTTTGACATATCATGTATGCCTCTGGTGGTAAAAGACATCTTTCTTAGTACATGAAACACATTATATGAACAACAAACTTGCAGAACCTTCACCTGATTCCAAATTGGCTCACCAGGAGGTCCAATGACAGTAGTTTGACTATTCTTTTTACTACGGATAGTTTGATCCCCCAGGCTCAGAGTAACATATGGATCTGTTTTACCTGACAAACAGAGAATCTATGAGCATAGCACATGGAGTAGAAAATGAATACGAAAATACAGCATATGGAAAACCAATTATCTAAGAGAACAAGAGACCAATTAAGACTATGATTTTTGGGCATCAATATTCCATTATGACATGGATATTATAATCTTTGTGCAAAGAGATGACTGTAAATGATATACACACATGCAATCACTTTACAAAACATACAAAAAAGAAAAAGAGAATAATCTAATATTTCTGAGTCCATAAAAACCCAAAGGTATATAAACTTCTGATTTTGCAACTATCCCAACTGAATGGGGCTGACTAAAACCTTATTTTATTTAAGCGACTGCAAACACTAAGTGGCAATGATTGACAACTCAATGATCATTACAGAATACCACGCTGCATATGGAAAGCCATACACTGATGAGTCCAGGAAAACTTTTTATAGAGCTAGTACAAGCTTATATCATATGTCAGGAAAAAAAATATAAAATAGAAGAAAAAAAAAAGAGAGTGCAAAAAAAGATGGCTGATAAGAAAAGGAAAAAAAAAAAAAAAAAAAAAAAAAAGAAGCAAATTTGATGTAAGAAAATGAAAAAAAAAAAAAAAAGAAGCAAATTTGATGGTTTCTAGAAAATAAAATTTAAAGAAGAAAACCAAAATTAGACTATCAGAAAAAAATAAGACAGATTCCTAAATAAAAAATTAGTTCCTCCTTTCACAGCAAAAACTCCTAAACAGGAAACCAACTAAAACTCTTATTTATCAAAATTAGAAATTCCATGAAATATCCACTACTACCTTTTTTTAGCTACATCAGATAAAAATCCTTTTGAGTCAATAATCTAAATCTAATAGAATTCAGTTACTAGATAGCGCAAGCAAAATTACCCTTGGAATGGCATAGGATTCTTTTGCCTCTCTTATATGATAAACTTAAAGAAATATGAGGGACAGAGATAGAAGTAATTTCTACCATAGAAGACATAGGAAAGTTTCCGAGCATCTACAAGAGTAACTGATAGTTCCCCAACAAAATCATTATTTCCTTCTTGCATTTCTCCAGATCTGAAAGCATTTGCAACAGGACCTACTGCTTTTCCTTTCTGAAAATCCAACACAATCTTCTTTGGACGAACAAATAGGCGAGGCAAATCCTCAGTAAGAAGCTTCTTCAAAAACCTAATAAAATCCAGTGAATCATTTGAACAATTCTATTTCAAATTAGAAGGTCAATCCAAACATTAACAGAGTATAAGGGGGAAAAAAAGAGGACAAAATCACCAGTAATTTCCAGTTGGCTATTTTCACATTTGATTGCACAAGGTGCAAAAATACATGGAAAATATGAGAAAAATATTTGGAAGTTCACCAAAAACAATGGCCAAGAAAAGTTAGACCGACAGAAAGTTCACAATTCCCAAGATGCATAATTCAACAAGAAATGAGAGAAAATCCCATCCTTGTGAAAGTGAAGTATAATTAAATCACATAAATATAATAATCCCTATGATTACGAAGAAATGGAAACTAAAACTTTCTACAACAACAAAATTCTTCCAAGAGTTGAAAAATTCAAAGAAAAGCTAACATGAATTTTGAAATTTCATAAAAATAAATTGTCATAGAATACAATAAAATGTTGAGACAAGAACATCTAATCAGATATGAAAATTAGATGTAATTGGGACCTGGCACAAGACACCCTCTGCCCTTAATTAATGAAATGACCAAAGCATTTCTTTTAAGCCTAAAAGAGATTAAAAAGGAAAAAATAAAATAAAATAAAAAGGGAAAGAGATAGGTGCAATCGATGCTTCCTGGAAAGAAAAAAATTCACTTACATTGAGAGAACAGGTATTGCTGGTGTTGCCCAATGCACCCAAATATGAGAAAAGAAGAAACATATATTAGGAACTCCCATCCAAACTAACTGGACATGAAATTACAAAAAAATAAACAATGAAAACAGCTTTTTCATTGTTTACATAGATCAATTCTCAGAAAATTTATCCTATCAATCATATGATACATATATCATTAAAGTTCCAGTTGATTTCTCAAACTAATAATTTCATTTAAGAAATCTGTAAATGCAGTATCTGAAAGCATGCAACAGTCATTGATATGTCCATTTTCAAGAAAAATAAAGCCATAAATTCAGCATGTTCCCTTTTCCTTCAACCTAGTACATCAGAAACAAATAAAGTCAATAATTTTGTACTTGAAAAGGATTGCATTAAACCAAGAATCTTTCCGGCTGACTATTTCTCTTCATCTCTGTCTATGTCCTTTCCACAACCAGCATCTACCATTAACAGTGTGGAATCATTAATAGCTACTAGTTTACATTCATTGTTGTCCATTTACCAGATCCCATGGCAAAAGGAAAGTTAAAAATTATTTAGCAGAAGAATAAGCAACTTCGTCATTAAGTATTTCATCATGCAATAACTAATTTTTTTATGCAGTTATTACAGAAATATATAAAGCCAACTTCGTCAGTTAAGTATTTTCATCATGCAATAACTAATTTTTTTATGCAGTTATATACAGATATAATATATATATATATAATAATATATATATATATATAATATATATATATATATATATATATATTATAACTCTTTAATATCAAACTATGACATACCATCAAATTGAAACAAGCGGAATGGTTGGACAAGTTCAAATTTGATATATTATAACTCTTTAAATATCAAACTATGACATACCCATCAAATTGAACAAGCGGAATGGTGACAGTTCAAATTTGATCTTTGGAAGGGACACAAAAGCCCATGAAACAGCTCCTACCCAAGGTTCAGTTGGTATTAACCGTACTTTGACCCACAGTTCACCATCTATGTCAAAATCTCGAACACCAACAGGTACAACAATTGGGATAATGCCAAATTTGAGTGAAAGCATTAGCAGCATTCGAGCACCACCAGTATATCGGAGGCCTATTTGATACCTAAATATTATAAATGATAATAACAGAAGAAATTAGTTCAATGCTTTATGATTAAATAAGTAGAATAATATCCTGACACATATCAAAATACAATGAGAAAAGGGAAAGAAAAAAGAGAAGAAGAAGAAGGCATATCTCACACAGACAAGCTTCAATTGTAAACTGATAAACTTAATATATTTATTTGATTGTCCAGTTCAGTATTCCCACCTCTGCTCAAAATTGCCCAAAAATCTATGAACAGATTAAACTCAAATGCACAGCAGGATACATTAAGAATATTATTCATTAAACAATTATCACTATAAGATAGTAACATCAAACAGAGCCATAGATCATTAGATAGTTGGTCGGGTCTCTATATTCTAAAACTTAATTCATGATACAACATGTTAAAGCACCATCTAGGAAACAGGAGTAGAAACCCTATCACCATGAGGAACATTTAGGCACTGCATAAGTACAAATCCCAAGCAGCTCAGCACATTTACAATAATTCAAATGCAAATAATTTCTTGATAACTTAGCCAATTATGCCCCCAAATTTCTTGTCTATTATTTTCCATTTTATCCACGTAATAACAAAATATATTTCCCATATTACTTGTTTACTACAAAATGAGTCCACTCAACTCCCTGCAAAATTTGTGAAGGTTGATAAAGAGGGAACTTACTGCAAATCGTTGACACGACGGGATGTTCTGCGCTCGACATTCCTGACAGACAATGGCTCATCGCCCAAAGAGAATTGCTTAATCTCAACTCTCTCCACATAATCAGGCTTCTTCAGATTATCAATAACAGGCTGCAGCAACCCAATAATCCAATTCTCAATCCCAGGTCTATAAACCTTCCACAGTTTCCCCAAGACCATATTGACCCACTCTACCGACTCTTTCCTCTGCAAATCCTTCTCCAAAAACAATGAAAAACTTGTGGGAACTTGCGGCCACGGCCCCCGCTGCCCAGCACCGCCTGCCGTTTTGGCCGTCTTCCTCGATGTCCATAGCTTATCGAAAGCTACTCCAACAAAGAAGAAAAAGACAAATAACCCGACAATGTTTCGATTAATTGGAGGTGATGGGATTGGATGTATGACTCCTAATTGAGTCCTTAACTTGTCCAGCATTGGATCATCTTGAAAACCGGTGAAATTTGAGCCTATTTGAATAGAAGATGTTGATGATTCTTGTGAAATATCCTCTTGTTCAGTCTCCAATTCATTAGCAATCCGTTTCAAAACGAGGTTCCTTGTACCTAGCCTAGTTGAGTTGGAAAATTCACCATTTGTACTAAGATTTTTGCCATATTTGGAAATTACATAAGCATGAAAAGAGAAATTTCTGGTCAAATTTCGATTTTTCCTTCTCCTTTTCGAGAAAGGAATTGATGGGTAATTGTGATTCAAACTTTTACAAGGGCAGAGTTGAGGAAGAAAAAGCTGAGATAAATCGAAGCTAGAAGAAGAAGAAGAAGAAGAATAAACCGTTTTCATATTGATCGAAAACGATGATACATGAACCTAAATTTCGCGTAAGAAGAGTCATCAGCTAGGGATTGTGCTGCTTCTGCTGTAAAACAGTGATCCTCCAGCTGAAGCTGGAATAAATAAAATCAATGGAAGGTGTGGAGGAGATTGAAGAATTTTTTGTGATAGAGGGAAATTGTAGGAGGGAAAAAGGAAAAGGGAGAAAAAGAGGAGATGGAGAGTACTGCTTTTGCTTGTAAGCGTGGGGTATGTATGTCCTCTATATTATGTAGGCACAGAAAACTCACGTTTTGATATGTTTAGGCTGACTGGGATTCGAAGCCTCAGAATGAGGAAGACGTGGATAACGGAACCGTGTTTTCTTGTTTTCGCCTTTTTGGATTTGAATCGCACGTGGGTCGGAGGAGCCTCCGCCTACGCGCTTAGGTCCATAAATTATGATATGTTTATCTAATGGTCCACCTCTGTACAGGGCAAATACACTTACAATGAAATGAAAAAATTATTATTACATTCGTAAATACAACCAGTCAGTTCCTACGTTTTTTAAGTCTCTGTGTTTTGATTATGTTATAATTTTTAGTCATTCCATCAAATTTTAGCCAGTTTAGCTATAAGTCAATAAAAAAGACGAAAATACTTTTATCCTTCTCTCAAATTTTCATTTTCTACCAAACAATCTCCTCCGTTATCTTCATTATCAAATCTACCATTAAAGTTCATCTAAACAACTTTAATAAAAAAAACCAACAAAATAATCAAAACCAAAATAAAAAATCAACAAAATATTCAAAATCAATGAAATATTCAATCACAAATTAAAAATTGCCTACTTTCCATTTCAAGCTTTTCAGCAATATCAACCAAATCTGAGAAAGCCATAGGGATCGACTTAAGCACACCATACAGCTGTGTAGGGGCTTGGCTAAACGACCGCGTATAGATCATCCCAATCTCAGGTCCACCAAGCATGGAGGCTTGTTCACGACAATCTCAAGTGCTCTAGGCATTGATTTCAAGGCATGTATTGCAGACCACTACCTTCTCTCCACTTCAGTAACAGCCAACATCTAGATCTGATGTATTTTCATTAAAAATTCTCTTGCTAAAGCTTTTTAACTTTAAAACCTCCATCCCAACTTCCATTGCTAGAGTGTGATGATACTTTGAGTTAGGTTAGATCTAGGAGAGAAGATGACAGCGGAGAAAACAATAGAAAAAAGGGGTGTTTTTGGATTAATTTTAAATTCTGTCATTTTACCATTTTTGATCAGTTAACAAACAGAAATTGGCTAAAATTTGACAGGACTAAGAGTTGTGATGGAATCAAAACACAGGGAATTCAAAAAGCATTTCAAAAAAATGTAGAGAATGACCAGTTGTATTTCAATATATATAGGGACGTAATAATAATTTTTACTAATGAAATTAACTTTTTAAAGGATATAAGCAACTTATGAATTATCTAGTAAAATTTTTTTTCTTGCTCTCACTTATTTCTTTTTGTGGCCTTTTAGATTCTATTTTCTGAACTCACCATCGACCAAAGAATATAATATCTTTTGGAACAAAACTTGAATTTAGTCTCTTACATCTGTAATAAGTGATAGATCTTGAGTGTTTTTGGTACCGTCTTAGTGGAATTATTAATTTCTCTCCATCATGGAGTTGTTCCTCATTATTGAGGAGTTTTTTAGTCTCTTAGATTTATAATAGTTGATAGATCTTGAGTGTTTTTGGTACACTTTTATTGGAGTTATTAATTTCTCTCCATCATGGGGTTGTTCCTCTTTTTATGTGGAGCTTTTATTTTTTTTGGCAATTAGAAATACAAGATGGATTATTAGTTGCTTGTGGTTCAGATAAGTTTTTTTTATCGAAAGAACCGGATAGTGTGACTTGTTCCTCCATTGAAGTTTAGTATATTAAACTCTTCTATGGGTGTCAGTTGTAACAGGGTTTTCAAAAAAATAATGTTTGGGACAATATTGTGGAAAGTTTCTTTTGTCGTCCTATTTGAAAATGGATCAGTTTTTATCCCCAAGATTAAACTCTTCTACCAAAATTATCTCCAAATAGAAGATTTCAATTTTCTATGAAAATGGATCAGTTTTTATCCGCCAAGATTTAAACTCTTCTTACCAAAATTATCTCCAAACTTTTGTCGTCCTATTTGAAAATGGATCAGTTTTTATCCCCAAGATTAAACTCTTCTACCAAAATTATCTCCAAATAGAAGATTTCAATTTTCTATATTTATATTGGTTATTCTTGTGGAAATATCATGATGTACTCAACTTATATTCGTTATTAATGAATAGTCAAGTTTTTTAAAAAAGAAAAAAAAGATATGCTACTTACCTCACGTCCATAGCGAATCATTTTTCTTGCTAAGGTTGCTCTAATAATATTATAAGATAGTAAACATCTCTCCCTGTGAATCACTATATCTACATGCTTTGGGGACGGTCAATCCATACCCAAAATGAAACCATAGTCCTTAGAAAGCATCTTACTCAAATCTGATAAACGATATGACTTTGGATCTCCTGAGCGCAATTCTATATAATTTGTTCACAGTTACCGTTTCACCTAAAGAATTAGATACTGTCACATCAAAATCCATTTTCACACATTCTATAATAGTATGACAAACAATTTCACAACTAACATAGGAGTGAGTAGATCTAGGATCTACTACACAATTACATCTTGGTCAAAAAGAGAGAACTTATCAATCACTATATCTGCTGCATTGGTATCTTCATTTTGCTTCATAGTGTATACTCTAACTGACACTTCAAATCGAATCAAGCTGATTAACAGTCGCTTGACTCCCTGTAACGCCACCTTTTATCTCTACTCCTACCTTTATCAGCTGTCCGAATAGTATTAGTACTGAGTGGAGATCTCTGTATTAAATCCTCCGTAGCATATATAAAGTGACTACTCGTGGTTTAGTGCAATCTTTAGCAAAGTGTCCAATTTTTCCACAGTTATAACATGCTCAAATTGTCTTTCTGCACACACCTCCATGCATGTTACCACAAATGTTGCAAGTGCAGTTAGCTAGCAGAAATCTAGATACTGGTGGTGCAGTTCTGATTAATCTCTACATCGGTGGTCCAAAACTTCTTAATCTTTGTAGAAACATACTACCAAATCTCTTCCTTTTACCCAATGAGTTACTTACAACAAAATAAGTTTTCTTCACATTCTTCTCTTTCTCTTCAGCCTCCTTAACTATAACCTTTTCTGTATCTACTCTCTCTTGTTCTAGAGCATGAGAGACTAGCTGTGACATGCCAACCCGGCAAAGCGATCCTAAGAGAGCGGATAGAGCAAAACTCCTAGCTAGCTTATAGGATGACATGCTAGCTAGGGTGGTGGAATGAAGGACACAAGAATGAATTAGATCATATATCAAAAAAGGGAAAACTAATCATCTGAGGTGCCTCTTTGTGGAATAGCCTGGAGAGTTGGAAAAACTCATGGGTTAAGTGTGCTCGTTTAAAGGAAAAAGTAGGATGGGTGGCCTCTTGGGAAGTTCTCTATTTCACCTACTTGATAGAACCGTGTGGGTCTTGCAAATCCAGTATAGGATGGATGTAGGATGATCCAAAGCAGACAATTCATCTGATGGTTGCTCATAAATTTGCATCGAAGGAACATGAGGTGTTGGTATATTCAAACCTGATGGACCCTAGTATTTGCTCATCTTGCTTAGATTTGTTCAATTGGGAGATTAAAGTTATCTCCTTCATTATCTTCTATACTTTCCCGATGAGGCATGTTACTTCTAACAACTCTATTTAAGAAAAATTTTCATATATCAAGTTTAATTATATGATGAAATATATAATACACAATAACTTTCAATATTGATCATCTTCATAAATTATTCATATTTGATACCAACAAAAACATTTCATACCATATCTTTTTCTAAAGTATGACATGCCTCCTGTAACATGATCATAAGACACCTAAACTAATCCATAGGTTTTTAAAGATCATATTACAAGGGATAATGTACCATTTAAAACCAGTTGTTAACTTAGTATTTTACTATAAATAGAGTATATAAAATACAATATTTGAAATTTGTTAAAAGTTTAAGAATGTAAAATAATACATTTCCTAAAATCAAATATCTCTTGAAAATTTCTCTTTATTGAGATTACAACTATAGCTGTAATATACATTTAAAATACAGAACATATATATCATTCTGGAAAGTCCATAACCCGATATCCTTCAAGTGTCAGAATTGCATATTAACATCTTTTATCATATTTATAATAACAAAAGATAGTATGTTTCAAAACTAATTACAATACACTGCTCAATTAATGAACATTACAACTGTTGTGAAGTTTTACATAATATAATTAAAATTTATACAACAAAAGTTTTTATTTTATATCTAAACTATGTTAATATCAACACGTCCTCAAATTTTAATATGTACAAAATTAACATAGCTCACTCCTTTACCTTCTCCTTACCCTTACATACGATAGTTCAGAAAACAACTATTGTTAAGCATATAACTTAGTGGTGCGCAAGTAGTATTTAAGTAAGATAATATAAACCCTTTTATTTAATCATGTTATAGAAACCATCATTGTCACGCCCCCAAATCCCAAGTAATGGATAGTGACGTTTTTAGGTCATAAGATCTCGAGGAGTGACCGATAATTTTACCCCCGGATAGTACTATTTATTATGTGTGAGTATCTAATTTGGTGGCACAATAAGTTGATTTAGATGGTTTAAAAGTCGTATGTTAATCTAAGACATGGACTTGGATGAAATTATTGAGCAATTGCATGTAAGGGACATTTTTGTAATTATGTGTATAGAGATGGGGAATAGAGTAGTTCATAATAAGTTGACTTAAGATCAAATTGGATGGAATTAGAAGTCTAGTGGTTAAAGTGTAAATAAGAAGAGTTATAAGTGAATTGATTTGGCCCTTAGATCATCCAATAACCAATTAATCTTGGCCCTTCATTTTTAAAAGAGTGTGATAACACTCAGTGTTGGAGATGAGGTATCATCTCTTTCCTTTAGCTCCCTCCATGGCTACTCTGTGACATCTCGACCCGGCAAAGCGATCTTAAGAGGGCGGGTAGAGCGAAGGGTAGAGCGAAGCTCCTGGCTAGCTTCTAGGATGACAGACTAGCTAGGGTAGTGGAATGCGGGACACATGAATGAATCGAATCATATATCGAAGCCCAAAGCGATTCTTTAAGAGGCGGGTAGGAGCAAGGGGTAGAGCGAGGCTCCTGGGCTAGCTTCTAGGATGACAGACTAAGCTAGGAGTGGAATGCGGGAACATGAAATGAATCGAATCATATATCGAAAAGGGGGAAATTAATCATTAAGAGGCCGTCCTTTTGGTGGATGGCTGGAGAGTAGAAGAACTCTAGGGTTAAACGTGCTCGCTTAACGGAAATCCTAGGATGGGTGACCTCCTGGAAGTATCCCATTTCACCCGATTTCACCCGCGGGACAAAACCGTGCGGGTCTTGACAATCTTGTATGGGGAATTTGGCTTGATCTAAAGCGGACAAATCCTCTGGTGATTAGAGTCGGGCATGACATACTCCACACACACACACTCTCTCTCTCTCTCCTTTGATCTTTCTTCCTTTTTTTACTTGATTTCTCTGCTTAATTTTCCTAAAGACTAAAGTTTATCATATTTAATGTAATATCCATGGATTAAAGCTTGAAATTTTGAAGTTTGATGAAAAATTTTCAATGGAAGCATAAAATTGAAGGTATTATAAAAATTGAGTTAGAATTTGGTATTAAGCATGCATTTCATGAATGATTTTGCATTTTATTTATGCATATGAAATTTTCTATGGTAGAAAGCGAGGAAGATTCTAAGGAGAAAAGAAAGGAAATTATGAAGTAATTGGAGATTTGTGATTATTGGAATTGAAAAATTTAGAGGTTAGTGTACTTTTCCTCTTTATTTTTGGAATTTCCATATATTTTAAGTAAGCTAAAATTTTAGGATTTTTATAATTAATGTATGAAATTGTGTTAATTGGCATGCGATAACTAATATATGATAAATAATTAAGTAAATAATGTAATTAATTGAAAGAAATGCAAGTTGGATGAAAATTTTATGGTTGGTTGAACATTAAGGAGAAAAATCCCCACATTTGTGTTTTTAATCCTTTGGTTGATTCTCCCTAATTTTTATTTTATGAGTATGATTTAGTTAATAAGATAATTGATTATGTAGAAATGTAAGTATAACATGAAAATGCAGAGGGCTAAACCATATATAGTTCCAAATACTCAATTTTTGTCTTTTAATTG